TATCATCTAGTTCTGATTCTGGTTCTGTCTTGGTTAAGTCCTAAGTAGTCCTGATTTTGAACTGTTGTAGTCCCGTTTTAATTCCAGATCAGTTCTGGGTCTGGCTGAATTGGGGTTTAGTCCCTGTGTCTTGATACAGCCCCGACTTTGTTCTGCCTTGCTGTTTAATTAAAAAAAAAAATAGTTTAAGGTGTTTTGCATGTGTGATATATATATTTTCCCCATATGAAGTCATTCTTTTTTGAACAAAACTGAAAACAGAGCCTATTAATCTTTCAGTCATTTCTAACGGCCCCCTTCCCCCAATCCCACATGCATACTACCCTTTAGGGCTAAGCCCCGGGTGTATCAAATGTCTGCCTCCGCCTCTGCCAGGGAGTCGGGTATTTTTAGGTAATGTTTAAGGTTAAAACCTGCTTTGACTCTAACTGTCACCATCTGATCAGTTAAATGTACCTATATGTGTGCACTTGTGCAGTGAGAAAACTTCAAGACTGAATGGCCAAGTAGGTTCCTGGCCGTTGGTCAAAAAGACGTCTAATTTTTTGCCAGGTAAAACACCAAGTGTGCTCAGCCGTGCAGGCTGACTGAACCCCCATAATCTATTTTATCGTCTTCTTTTTGAGCGGCTTCGGTTGTTTTATAAACCTTCTAACTATGCACCGCTCTCAGTCATACCTCCCGACCATGTCCGATATGATTATGACAGGACAACAAAATGACTTGAGCAATCTTCTGTCGGTGTCTGCAGTGCTCTCACACAAGCAGGGGTCTGTTGCACCATACTCATTTTCTCCGGCAGTGACTTCTTGTGGCAAAGAAGAGAATTGCATTCTTATGATCAGTTGCCTTGTTCATCTGGGACAATTAGCCACACACCAGGGGCGATTCTAGGATCAAACCACTAGGAGGCCTCAGCCCCCAGTCATAACGTCATCCATTCTGCCTTACAATTATACCAACATATTATGCTGCATGTAAACATATTTCATAATTTTCACCTGTGCAGACCTGAATGTTACAGGATAAACATTAAAACATATCCAAAAGCAATATCTTTTTTGGATTAAATTTCAGTGTTGAACCCTTTCATGCATGAATTATGACACCCTCAGTCAGGATTTTTTTCTTAAGTTTAGTCATCTTTAGGCATGAAAAAAAGATTTTTGAACTTCATTTTTTTAAACATGTACTTTTCAAAGAGTTAGTTACATGTCCACTTAGGTGGACGACCTACGTTTTGACCTATGAATTTGGTATGGAGTGACACGTCAGTGTCCGATGTAGTGGTTTAAGTGTAAGTGTGCCATCAACACTGACACGAATACAAGAAAACAACCTTTGAATAGCTGTCCACTGTACTGACCACTATGCACGAAGAATGATTCTGAATAAATGATCACAGTTCTTAATATAATTTTTGAAAGTAAGTTAAAGCAAAATTTGTAGCAAAGCAGAAAAAGAGGAGAAACTTGCACAAACTTTAGATCATGAAATCATCATCAATGAGTGTGGGCAAAAGAGAAGCTACGGCTTTTGCTGTCTTTGACTTTTGCTCTTTACCTCTAACCCTTTCCATCACTGTCTCCCACGCAGCTCCTCTGTTTGAGTGCACTAATAGCAACTTGACATCATGAACACTAGACTTGATTTCACTGTAATCACAACAGAGAAGTTTGGAAAATGTAGCATTAAAAGGGCATGTTGCTTCTAGGGTGGTTGAGCATCCTGAAAAGTAGTGATGTGTCGGTCGCAAACGAAACGGCTCTTAGAGCTGGGTCTTTGACGTGAACAACGCGAGCCGGCTCCTTATCGGGAGCCGTGGTTTTTTGTTTTTTTTTTTCTCTCATCCTCTTTCTCACACTTTTTTCCGCTTCACTCCGCACGCGAGCCTTGTGCTTTGCGCTGGGAAGAGGGGGGAGGGGCAGTAGTTATACTCGCAGTAGCACAGGAACAGAGCCAGAGGGAGAGACAGAGAAAGAGCCAGGGACAACAACGTCACATTAGAAAGGTATAGTAATCATCCACAACTATTTTCAGTTACGGATGATAAAGGATTCAGAAAGTTTATTCATGCAGGTCCATATGACAGAGAATATGCATCTTCTTTTTGTTTTCATATTTTATTTATATTTAATTGTGTTGTGGTTTGCAGTGTTTTGTGTTGTTTCACTTAAAATTTGTTTAAAAGGAAAAAGCTGAAAATTTAAATAGTTGAAAGTTGAAATGTGAATAGTTGGTTTTTGTATTATATGATTTATTTATTACATTTTATGTGGAGTGAATAGATAAAAGTATATTTACGGTGGCCCCTAGAGACAAAGCACGTACAAGCTTCAAAACAGGTACAAACACAACAGAAGTGCTCCAGGATGCTAGGGGGCAGTGTTGAGCTTTTGTTACCTAGTGGCTACACAAGCCAGGAAGTACCAACTACCGGATTTGGTGTGTGATAGTAACAGGTAAATTAACATTTTTTAAAAATTATTTGAATATATATGAGTGTTTGTGTATAAATACACATACAATACACACATGCTTTCAACTGTGTAATTTAAGTGATCTAGGTAGCTCTGTTTTGGAAGTTCAGTTCATTCTAGAAATGTGTTTTGGAATTTGGAGGAAATTGTACATGCTTTGTCTCTAGGGGCCATTGTATATATTTATATATAAACATATATAAATAAAAACACTTTTTTTACATTAGTAATTCTTTTTGTGCATAATTTTATATTGTTGTTAATAATAAATTAATTAAAGCAACAAAACAACCTGAAGAGCTGGTTGGGAGCCGAAAGAGCCGGCTCTTTTTAGTGAGTCGAGCCGAAAGAGCCGGTTCTCTAAAAAGAGCCGGAAATCCCATCACTATTGAAAAGTGTCTAAACGTGCCAATGCTACAAACTGCATATTTCTCACTTAATACTCACATTTTTCACACAATGTGAATATTAGGACATCTTTTATATTTGTTTACATTATCTGTGTGATGACTTTGAGCTTTCTGAGCAGTTTAAACAGCAAATGGGTCATTGTTCATGGTGAATCTATTAGACTGAATATGACCAGAGATTTTTGATCAATTTGTTTGTGTCCCTGTGGCCTTCCTTTTATGTCTGTTTGATTGTTCTGTCATTCTTGTTTAAAATAAACAATTATATGACCCAATTCCTGTATCTTCTTGCTGTCTGAATCCACATGGACACCATCAACCCTGTTGGTGCCACTGTAAAATCCAAGCCTTCATTTCAACATTAAAACCCTTATATGATGTCTGTTTTACAAATTCAAACAAATAGACGTTCAAATTTTGGATGGTTGTTTTCAACAATGCAAATGTGACCCATATATTTTTCTATCAAGACAATTAAACTTGATTTTCAGCCATGTTTTTTCTCCTCTCATTAACTGCAGATACACTTATTGATTCAAATTTGCCAATGCCAATACTATTAATTAAATATTACCTCCCTCAGGACGTACTGCATTTTCTTTGGACCTTCATTACTAAATCAGTTCATTGGAGACAAACCTGCCCTCTGCTCTGCAGACACAAAGATCTGCCTACACTAAGTTTATTGTAAGCAGATCCTTTACACTTAGTTTGAAAAAAGATAAACAAATTGTGTCCACTGTATAATATGTTTATAAAAGTATAATAAAAATGACTTGCAAATCGTTTAGTCTAGATTTAACTGAGCACTGTATAAAGCAGCGTATCAAATGTTGAGAGTGAGCTTTCTTTATTAGTTTAAAATACATATACTATGTCAGAATTGAAGCCAGCAGTACATTTGAGTAAATATCAGATTGTGGCATGCTTATCAGTGTATTATCAGTGTATCTTTTAGCAACAGCATTTAAGCCTTTTGCAAATGAAGCAGATATATTTTCCATTTTGCTTGATATAAGATTTCAGCAGCCTTACTAGGTTCTGGGCTTCCTTTATAATGTCTTTCATTTCTTAGTATATCAAATGTTTTTAATGTACGACAGGTGTGGACTGCAGTGAGGAGATTTTAACAAACCCTAACACTAAAGTATATGCAGAATGTCATTAAGGCATTATGAATGAACGTGTGATTGATGGAAAGACTTTCAGCATTATTTCAAGTGGTTTAGCAAAGGCACTGTATTAATTTTATGAATTATATAGCCATTAATACATTAATACCCCATATTCAGAGGCTCACAGTAATTTGAAAATGTGACATAATGTTAACTATAAAAATTGTTTTTATTTTTTATTAACTTTTCACAGAGTTGAAAAAAACAACAACAACTTTCAGTCCATGACAAGTTCTTAACTGTCTGAAATCTGGAACCCATGAAAGTCACTAAATGCTGTTTCCTCCTTTAGCTCTGTCAGACTACTTTCACTTGCTGCTTGTGTGTGTTGGGGTCTCTTTGACTTCAGTTTTGTCTTTAGTAACTGTCTTCAGTATGAGACTCACCAAACTCAAGCTCCAACTGATAAAAAACAAACTGAAATGCACTCATGTCAAACTTATATCAGGGCTAACACACGTTTTTTGTTTTTTTGTTTTTTAAAGTTGTATTATCTCCAAATAGGTTCTTTTCAGCGGTACTGACTGCTCATAGCGTCGACCACAGCAGATAGAAACTTCTGCCAGATAGCTTGACTCTGGGGGCTCAGGGCTGACTTGAGTTTGCATGCGATTGTGATAGTGATACAGTCTGCCAACAGCTGTGAAAAAAAGAGAAAACACCATGAAAACTCTACAAGTGCAAAACGTCACGTATTTTTTTCATGTGGGTTTGAGGAAAAGTGTTGCTTACCCTGAAGCTATCGGGATCCACTTCGAGTTTCTGAAAATGCAACCGGCTCAGAGCAGCATACGTCCGTTTCATGTTGTCCATGTTGTTCACTGCTTTGTCCAGAGCCTTCAGCACCATCCTTCCATGAGCCGCCACTTTGTCGTTTTTCAAAATAGCAGTGATGGTGAAGAGATCTCCAAAAGAACCAAAATATCGCTCAGTCCAGGGGTAGACTATCAAGACTCTGACAATGCAACAGTCAGTGGTACAGGTTTATTAGCATAAACGATACCACTCGATAAACAGGTAAATCTGAACTAACTGGAGAAAAAATCCCTAAATATACAACGTACCCTTAAACAATGGAATATTTAAAAAAATAATGATTTTTCACGATCATTTTTTCTTTGTTTATTTCTTTTTAAACCAGGCATTGAATTTTACTATTATGAAATACCCATCAATTAATTAAATAGCAATAATAATAATAATAATAATGTATTGAGAGAAAATTGCCAGAATATTTTTTCCGTTTTTAGGATTTTTTTTACAATCCGTTCTTGAACAGTAAAACTTTCAGAATCACGTACCTTGCCCAAATTTGTGACCCAATCTCATCGATATCTATTTTTTCCCAGATAGCGTTCACGGTGCTGCGCTCCAGTTCCGTCCACTTAACCATGACCTGAGCGAATTGAATAAACAGTTTTACTTCCGCACTCTGAGCTGCTGAGTGATCAGCTTTTCCGCTTAATGACTGGCAAAAATGGGGGTCCTATATTTCCAGCACACTAAAAGCGGACGAATGAGTCTGAAATACTCAGACTACGTGTCAACTATCACTGCAAAACACAATGGAAATGCCCAGAGATGGTATGGTATGGCATCAAAATATCCTCACGTAAATATAACCGCCTCCCCATCCGGTTGTATCAAGTAATTTTCCAACAGCTGATGAACTTAGATTATGCCACGCTATCATTATCTGAACATTCAGGCTTTCCCCACCCAAATAAATGATCCGCGGGTCCACTTCATATCAGAAACGTATGAAAGTTTATTTCTTGGCCTTAAATTACCCCATTCAATTACATTTGTTTTAAAAACTGATCAGCTCAATCATGATTATGGCGCGACAGTACTTATATTATATATTATATCCTTCAGTCATTTTTGAATTTCATTCAAGGCGTTTTAAAAAAAGTTTTTATAATGTTGCCGCTATACGCCTGGGGGTGTTCTTATATTATGTTGGGTCGAGGTTATAAACGAATTTTCTGCACTAAAGAAGAAATACTTTTTTCTGAGCTCGCAGATTGACTCGTTGTTAACGCTCAACCTTTAAATATGCGTAAAATGCCTGATAGCTGATGTTCTTCTTTGCATTTTGGAACACTTCACTTACATCAACAATACTTCCCATGCAGCCAGAGAACAACAACTTTGGATCCCTTTCACCCTTTTTTATACGAAAAGCAAAACTAAACAGTAAAGGAAAAAGTCACGAAACGGATTATCGGTGAGGCATACTTGTAATATTTATATTATACTCAAACATATAGGCGACTTCTATTTAGGATTATTGACTGTCCGAGATCTCCTTCTTGATGTTGTATTGTCGGTTAAAAGAACAAGTCAAATGATCGCACAGAGAATGAGTATGATTTGAGGTTTTATTTATTGGTGCATCTGGCAACAGAGTCAAAAAGATATATGATGTCACTTATATGACTGTTGCACATCTTTGATGAACTGGCACTCCAGAAATTTAGTGGTACTGTCTACCCAGGGCAGAAACGACCACGGACAAAAACTTCTGCCAGGCTTCCTGGACCTCAGGGGTGAAGACGCTGGGACCAAACTTAGCGCCAACGCACAGGCTGATGCATTCAGCGAGCACCTAAAATGAGAGAAAGAAAATGCTTAACAGAGTTAATAAACACAAACTAATTAGCTAACCTTTTTCAGGTCCATGTGTGATGATTGTTTCTGGGTGCTCGTGGGGAGATACCCTGAAGTTATCGGGATCCACATGGAGTTTCTCGGAGTGCATAACGCTCAGTTTGGCGTAGGTCTGCTTGATGTTGTCCAAGTTCTTCACAGCATTTTCCAGACCACCCATCACGGTCCTTCCGTGCTGTGCCACTTTGGGGTTTCCCAGAATGGCAGCATTGGTGGACAGGTCTCCAAAGGCTTTGAAGTATCTCTGACCCCAGGGGTACACAATCAGAAGCCTGAAATAAAACCAGAGAAACAATATTAATTTTAGTGCATATAGCATTAATAATTACTTCTACATACACAAAGAAACGTGTTGATATATTCGCTTTAGCCAAGTTTCAACATTATAGTAAAAAAAAAAGTTGCATAACAAACGACCATGTTTCTGAATTGCTATGAGCTGCAGGTTACCTGGAGAGGGCCTGGGGACCGATTTCATCCACATCAATCTTTCCCCACAGGCCTATGATGGCACTGCGCTCAGCATCTGTCCACTCGACCATTTTGACGGGGTGCAAGTCTCCTAGTTCACAAACAAGTTCTCACAAGTTCTCACAAATCTGCTTCTGAATAATTACCTTTCCCGTTTCCCGTTTTTATTCGCTTACCCCGCGCCCCCTCCTTCAGTCATCGAAGCATCTGATTGGATAGTCTGCGCCCGCCTGTTTAATGACGTGTGTTTTGCGTAAAGCAAATTTGGGCAACGGTCAGTGCCAACCGGATAGATAACATCATTTGGCTCAGATATTGCTGTCACTTAAAATTACTCAGCTACAAATAATCCATACTATTAGTCAGTCAAAACACATAAAATTGGTACAGTACAGTACAGGACAGTAATATCAGTAATACCAGCTTTTTAACACCTGCTTTTAAATAAGCTAAGATATCATACAGTTTATTTATCCAAAAGGATATGTGCTCTCTTAACTTTAGGAGAGTGTTTGTGCTCCTTGTTGGCTATAAAACAACGTGTTTTTATTTTTAAAATACTGACTAACATTCTGACTAACAGTACAGCCTTTAAATTATGATTTATGTTTAATATCATTTTTGCTTAGAGCATATTTCTTTTTGCATAAAATCTATTCGCCAGTTGTTTAAAGATTTTCGTGCATTGCAGCCATTCAGTTTTTCTTTTTCTTTTTTTTAATTGTCAATTGCGTCAATTACGTGATATCACGTAATTGTCTGATAAGCAGTTTGCTTATCAGACCTGCGTTCTGGATTTGATACTTGGGCGTGGCACCATTTGGGTGGACATAAAGACGCACTGACAGATCCAACCAAGCAGCATTTTTTGATCAGCATTTTTCCTTGCATCCCAAAAATTCAAAGGCAGTCATGAGTCTCTCTTCGAAAGACAAGACCCTGGTGAAGACCTTCTGGGCCAAAGTCGAGTCAAAGGGCGCCGAGATGGGTGGAGAAGCTCTGGGCAGGTAAGATCTCATTTTAAAGTAGGGATGACACAGGCTTTTTTAAGAGGGTGGGTTTTTCTTTCTTTTTTTTCTTTTCTTTTTTTGTAACTTCTTCGTATTTCCTTCTGCTGTATTTTACAGGATGCTCGTTGCTTATCCGCAGACCAAGATCTACTTTTCTCACTGGGGCGACCTGAGCCCTAACAGTCCGCAGGTGAAGAAGCATGGTGCAACCATCATGGCAGCTGTGGGAAAAGCTGTCAAGAACATTGATAATCTTACCAACCACCTTAGCAAGCTCAGTGAGCTGCATGCCAGCCAGCTCCGCGTGGATCCTGCCAACTTCAAGGTAACAAAATATTGCGACCTTTAAACCTGCCAGAAATTATGATTATTTGTGCATGTACTTTAGTTTAGATTGTGAGCGTTAAAAAACTAAAAAAAAAAAACTAAGTGAATGTATAGGGATGTCTTCAGTGCCTGATTTAATCTAATCTGCTGTTTCTGTCACAAACACAGATCCTCACTCACAACATGACCTTGGTCCTGGGCATGTACTTCCCTGCGGAATTCACCCCGGATGTTCACGTCTCCGTGGACAAGTTCTTCAATACCCTCGCCTGGGCTCTGTCCGAGAGATACCGCTAAACATCAAGACAGAAGCTACCAACGTGTGGCATGAATGTCAGCAACCCTCATCATATGTGGGGGCTTGTTCAATAAAATTCACAAACACAAGAATGTCTATGTGTCCATTTATTTAAGCTTTTGTAGAGAAGAATACGCTCATTTCCACAGGTTACAACACAGATGAGAAAACCCACACACAGTATGAAATTTCCCCTTGTGGGACTAATAAAGGTATATCAAATCAAATCAAATCAAAAAATAAGCCATGTTTTAAGTGTGTTTTTTTTAATCCTGGCGCGTCATTTGCCACAACTTCGATTCCGTTTACACTGTATGCTCGTTTTCGAACATCAGAACAAAGTCTCTGTGGCCACAAAGACCCCATAGTCCATCTAACATGCAATAACCAAAGCAATACATGCTTTCCGTGTATCATACTTAGATCACATCACCAGTGACTGGTTTCTCAGATGGTTCAGCGAACAGGTATCAAAATCTAGACTGCGTGCCAACGTCGCACCGCCATACAGCCAAAACTCATACAAGTCACAGATGTGTTTAAATGACCAGTGACAGACCATTCAGAAACAGCGACTACAAGTCACACATTTAGACTGTTGTTTATGCTTTAGCTTGTGTTCAGCAGTATGGTTAGACTGCGTTATTCTCATTTTGGACATGCACATTGGGCACTCTCGGCGGTCTGAGTGAGACGCTGAAATTAGATTATCGGGGCATGGGTACAAGTCACACACAGACATAAACAGACCACCACCACCATTACCTGTGCACACAGTAGCCTGTATTTCATCTGCCTTGACCTGCAATTGTAAGGTGGGAAAGCACATGCGTCACAAGCTCTCCTCCCAAAGCGCTGACCGCTGACCCACCGGTCCAAAATTTGTGCTTACAATACTTTATGAGTATTGTATGTACGGGCTCACCATCATTTTGTGTTTCTGTGGTTTATGTCAATTTAGGACACAGAACAACGTAGTCAAAGCCGAACGACACTGAACCTTATTGAAAGCGAGAATTCGGCTGACACCGCGAAGGGAAGCTGCCAAATCGAGCAGTTTTTGCCAAATTTGTTGGTTTACCAAATGAAAGAGTTGCGTATTTAAAGGACCAGTTCTTTGAAAGCTTGAGTAGTCATAGTGTGCTCATTGTGTTTTACTACTATATTTCAAAGTTAATTATATATATATATATTCAATTATTTCCCCCCTTATGTTGTAAATTTGCCCAGTACAAACTGTTATTTCTTGTTTTTTATTTTCTATTCTTTACTTTTTATGTGACTGTGCATGCTCCATCTGCCGATCACGTTGCTGCTGGAACACCCGAATTTTCCCAAGGACGGACAATAAATTATATTTCTATTCTATTCTATTCTATTCTATTCTATTCTATTCTATTTAAAAGTTATAAAATAATTTGCCATTGTTTAAATATTATAATTCTTACAAAGCTCACGCATACTATAGCAAAAAATACATAGCTTGAGCAGTACAGATTTCTTTATTTAAGCCCCATTAAAACATGGTTTAAAAACAGAACATGTGATGGTCCTCTGCAGCTCTCTAGTAGTACTGCCTCCTCAGGGAGGACACCACCACTGCCAGGAACTTCTGAAAAGCTGCATGGACCTCGGGAGTGAAGTCTTTACCCAACTGGGCAGCAACCACAATGGCCAGGCAGTCGCCCAGAAGCTGCAGGACAACAAAAATATGCATGAAATAAATCATCAACACACACACACACATTACTTGGGATGCAGTACCATCATTTCTGCATTGCCTACCATGAAATTGTCAGGGTCCACCTGCAGTTTCTCAGAGTGCAGCGTGCTCAGCTCTGTAAATGTGGCCTTGATGTTGTCCATGTTCTTCACAGCTTTTTCCAGACCTTGCATTACAACCTTTCCGTGAGCAGCAACTTTTGGATTTGATGTGATAGCAGCAGCATTGTAGAGGTTTCCAAAGCCAGCAAAATACCTCTGAGTCCAGGGATACACAATCAGACACCTGAGGAAACATGAACATTTGAATAAATTACACTTCTAAAACAAAAGTATGTGTTTATGCACAAAATGTGCTTCTTATATTTGTAAATTTGATACATACAAGCATAAAAACAGAACTATATGCTGATGATCTTACCTGGAAATAGCTGCTGGGCCAACGACTTCATAGTCGATCTTGGAGAAGATGTCCTTGATTGTGGCTCGCTCGAAGTCTGTCCATGCAACCATTTTGCCTTGTTGACTGTTGTGCCTATTCTACTTTGGTCAGCAGGCCCCCAAATGCAGCTTATAAAGGAGCCATTTTGCTCCACCCAAAGATATGCAGCTGGGTGGAGGTGGGCAGTGGGATGACTTGTAATACTTCTTTGCTGAATGAGTATTAAAAAGAAGTAAAGGAAAACGGCTTTTAGACTTTTATAACCCCTATCAGATAATGCATCGGTCAAGCCGCTTCTGTGTAACGCTTTGCAGTTCTGTTTAATTTCCACCATCAAAATGAATCAAAAAGAGGTTTTTGTAAAGATGTAAGTGAATTTTTTTAATCAAAGGTTTCCAACGCTGATAAGGAAAGCTGTAGCAATTTTTTAAATTAGATTAAAAGTATATGGTGTTGGTTGTATGATTTAATAAGTAATAAGGCAAAAAATGCTCTTGGGAGGGGCAAGATGTATTAATTCTGAAGCAAACATGATTTTGTTTGTTTTTTTAATCAAATAATTCAATTTGAAACTTGTGCAGAAAACTAGACTCTATTATAAACTTTGACTAGTTAAAAGTATTTCCTATTTGACTCCAATATTAAACAAATGGGCAAATATGAAGCCACGATGGCTAAAAATTTCAAAAGTTTGAATCGGTGTTTCTTCCTTCCCACCCACTGTGATACAACACTGAACAACAAACAATAGATCACATCAAAACATTTCACTGGCTCTCAAGTACAAGTGCATAGTTATATATCTTCGTTATGAGTTATCCTGAACTTCTATGAAGATTTTATTTCGTAGTCTGTTTATCTCATGGGAGGTGTTTCATATGAACCTGTCCAAACGCCAGTACCTTATCTGTGAGGTGGGTCGGGTGTGTGCATTTCCTGTTTCGTGTATAAAAACCTCCACAGTTTGAGCTGAACACAGCAACTCCAACCAGAACAGCAACAACAGGCAAGATGACCAGTCTTTCTGCAAAGGACAAGAACACAGTCAAAGCCTTCTGGGCTAAAGTGGCTGGCAAGGAGGAACAAATCGGCTGTGATGCTGTCTCTAGGTAAATATGGCCCCACACTGCCTACAAAAACCTGCTCCTGCATTTCTGCCTCATACTCATTGGTTTGTTCTCTTACATTTTTATCCAGGATGCTGACAGTGTACCCTCAGACCAAGATTTACTTCTCCCACTGGAAGGACCTGAGCCCCGGCTCTGCCCCGGTGAAGAAGCACGGAGCAACCGTGATGGCTGCAGTTACTGATGCTGTCAGCAAAATTGACGATCTGACCGGAGCTCTTCTGAGCCTCAGTGAGCTGCACGCCTTCACTCTGAGAGTGGACCCTGCTAACTTCAAGGTACTGATCATTATTAAATCAGGACAGCATTTCTCAATGTAATTTTTGTCCATGTTGTGAACATTAATCCAACCAGAAATTAAAATCTAACTCAGCTTTCATTTGATCCTTGGGTAGCTGTTTGATCTGAAAAGATGTTCTCACAAATAAATAAGTAAAAGTCCATTCATTTCAATGTGATCATCATCTTTCCACAGGTTCTGTCTCACAACCTCCTCGTGGTCCTGTCTACCATGTTCCCCGACGACTTCACCCCTGAAGTCCATGTGGCTGTGGACAAGGTCCTGGCTGCCGTGGCTCTCGCCCTGTCTGAGAAATACAGATGAACTGCACACAGGAGCAGAGGACTGCATTATGTGCTTTCATACTTACTACTACTCTGACTTTTAATAAAACATTGAATGCAATCAAAGTCTCATGGTCATTAGTGTGGTGAAGATAGTCTTTTACTGTGAGCACATAGGAGGAAAGAGGGTTTAAGGTAAAGAAACATCAAAGTTAAAGCATTCAGCTCATGCTGAAGGTTCAGTTTCAGAACCGCAGAAGCCTTTTTTTTACTTAGTATATGGTATTTATTTTTCTGCTTTCTACTTTGACTCCACTATTTTAAATGTAGAATACTTTTTACTGTGAGGACATAGGAGGAATTGTCTCATTACTATAAAGGTACATAACAGACAAATTCCTTCAATTTCTGTGATTGTTTAATTGCCAAATTCCCAAATTTAATTCTTACATCCTTAAGGCACTGACTGCACCAATGTTGGATCCAAAACTGTAAAGAGGTAAACAGGCTTAAAGACTTTGTGAATACAGTTTGACAATAGAAAATATTCCCTCTGCTAATACGATGTTTTTGGAAGGTGGTGATGCTGCATCTCAGAAAGCATTTTTACAGGTCTGTTCAGATAAATAGAGAATGTTCCAGTGAAAGCTTCTCCAGTTTAACTTTGACCTATTATCCCAAATTTTGTCATCCTACCATTAATTAATACTTTCAGTTTCAGAGTTTCAGTCAGGTTTCAGAGCTCATCACAGTACAGACACAGCTTTAGTGATGACTACAAATGATCTTCTTATGGCCTCAGACAGTGAACTCGTGTCTGTGCTTGTCCTGCTAAACATGAATGTAGCGTTTGATAGAGTTGATCATAATATTTTATTACAGAGATCAGAGGATGCTGTAGGTATTAATAGTACTGTGCTGCTTTGCTTTATCTATCCATGAAGTCAGATAACACAGTTAGTTAAATTGCAGGAATGTCTTAAAGACATAACGACCTGTGTGACCTCAAATTTTCTGCTTCTAAATTCATATAAAATAGAGGCTATTGTACTCAGCTGAGGCTATTGTAATCTTAGAAATATGTTGTCTAATCAGATATTTACTCTGAATGGCATTTCCTTGGCCTCCAGTAACACTGAGGAGTCTTGGAGTTGTTTTGACCTGAATATTTCCTTCAATGGGCAAATTAAACAAATACATAGGACTGCTTTCTTCCATTTGCGGAATGTCACTAAAATTAGAAACATCCTGTCTCAAAGTGATACTGAAAAACTAGTTTATGCATTTATTACTTCTAGGCAGGACTACTTTAATTCATTATAACCAGGATGTCTTGAAAACTACCTGAAAAGCCTTCAGTTGATCCGCTGCAGCGGGAGTACTGGCAGGGTGTAGAAAGAGAGAGCATTTTTCACCCATACTGGCTTCTCTTCATTGGCTCCCTGTTAATTCCAAAATGGGATTTAAAACCCTTTGCATTACATACAAGGTATAATCAGGCCTCTTAACTCAAAGACCACACAGTACAATAGAGAATTTCACTCTCAGACTGTAGGGTTACTTGTGGTTCAGAGCGTTGAAAACAGATTGGGAGTCAGAACCTCCAGTTTTCAGGCCGCTCTTATAGGAAACAGCTCCTAGTTTTGAAAAAAAGAAAGAAAGAATTGAAAGTAAATTTGCATCCGAACTCAATGTGTTTTGTGCTTTGCACATTTGAGTGTATCCTGTCAGGTTGTGCAGTTTGGTCTTGATAAGAAGCATGATTAAGAAAACATGTACAGCCACATCTTTAGGAGAGCTTTTAACTCAGTATGTAGTCAAAACGTGTTTGTTTGTTTTTTTTTAATGTTTTTTTAAGGACTATCGCGTTAGCCACACAAGTCGCTATAAACCTGACTATCCTGGCAGGTTGGGCAAAAATGCCCCTTCTGTCATTAACACGAATATTACCATGCCACCTCACCTCACATCTCAACTCTCAAGTCTAACCCTTAGGTTTATATTACACTAAGTGTGCCACATAACAACAAAGAACCATATAGTTAGCTTTTAATAAAGTCTATTATATATACTAACAACGCCAAAATCGCGCGTTTTACACATGCGTCTCTCTCCGGAAACAGCTTGACACCTAAGATCAGCGAGAGGCAGCTGAAGGAGAACCGATACACGTTTTAGATATAAGGGCGAACCCCTCATTTAAACATCGTTGGTGACTGTGTGTGGATAAATGCAGGTGTGACCTTTGATAAAACCGATAGCTTAGCAGGGGCGCATTTATAAATGGCTTGTCTTATTGCAAACTATCCCATCGTACAAAACCGGAAATATGTGTGAAACAGTCCACATACACATCACACGTGAAGAAATATTATTTACTTATTATTTATTTTACTTATTTCAGTTTAGTTCTGCTTTGTTTAATCACACTTTCAGCATTATTGAGGATACGAAATATGAGCGGCTTTGGTAAATACTCAGGGTGACAACTCAGTGTATCATTCCAGAACATCATTCTGTATTTTACCATCCCACGCTCGTTCTGATAATCCACTAAATGGACAAAAAGCGCTGGTTCTCATTGAATTCGAGTGTTTTTAGCGTCTTTGTCATATGTTTATAAAACCAAGCATCTAGCCATTCAGTTTGCCTCTACAAACATTTGTGAAACAATTGGTTGTACGACAGTTTGTGAAGTTTCGTTCCTTCCACATATTCCTCGATTAGCTGTAAGTGTTAATACGGCAAAGTAAAAGTGTTTAGGAGTCACTTTGTGGCAGAGCAAGTGAAGTTACAGAGCAGGGTGGCCGAGTGCTGAGGCGCACAGTGCGTAAAAGTCATCAACCTTCTGGTGACTTGATAAATGCAGAGCTCCATATCTCCTCTTTTTTATCATTAACACAAAAACTAAATCAAACAGAGATAATGCGAGGCTTCAGATCTTATTAATCATATGAAATGGTGCATATGATGGTCACTGTAATGACATCCCATCATCTAAAATCAGTCTTTCATTAAATGCATCTTCCATTACTCTGTGATTTTCTTTCCACAACTGTACTTCTGTTTCATATTTTAATAGCATGTTATTATTTTATTACAGCCCCCTTTTCCCACTGCTGTAATTTTTAAGATTTCTTTGTAAATAATTCTATTTTTTTTACTAAAGACAGTGGGATATTTGCAGACTGTGTTTTAACTCTTTTGCAAACTCAATTAAAGCCAACACAGTTATCCATCTGTATTTTAGTTCCTGACTTGTCCCATTTATCCTTATTATTGTAGCCATAATTGATTTCATGTTACATCAGTCATCTGGATCAATTATAATTAAATAAGCAGTTACTTGTTTTTGGATGTTTGCAACAGTTAAGAGCCAAATAAAGCCACATAATTCATTTTGTTTCTCTCTGGTGCTAGTAAGATCATAATTTTTTATTATTATGATCAGATTAGGTTTTTTCACATACTACTGTGAGCAAAGAATCATGACTGGACTTTCTGAAAGTGAGTTATTTTTCAAAGAAAATAACAAACGAGTAAGATCTTTTTTAATCGACTGATCCACTTAAATGCTCTCGTCTCAGACATTGTTCATAACATCATTCTCATAAGTGTTTTCTACAGTCATTGGTGTGGACTAAAGGAATATCATAGAGTTATGCTGATGCTCTTAGAAACTGTGGCCTGTGCTTATATGGATGAAGGCTGCATAAAAGTTATGTTTCACTACTAGGCCCGAAGAAGCCTTACAGACAGTAATTTGACTAGCTATGCTCCGTAGGGCCACTGAAATAGACCCACTGTAAGATGTTGCCCATTTTAATAACTCTTCTGCTTAAGTAAGGATCTTAAACATTATTTTCATAAACCTGTTTCATCACAGTGTAGCTGTGCTTTAGCCAATTTCTGCCTTTATACCATAACCTCCTAGGACCTGGCGTCCACATATGTGGACATCACATTTTGGGTTTTTTAGACCAAAAAAATCAATCAATAATCAATTTTGGGTCTTAGGAGGTTAAAGCAAAAATAAGAGCCTGCTTTGAGATCCCTTTACTCAATCCCTTGAATATGCACGGGCACAATGTAACATCAAAGTTTGGATGATTTTTTGGATGATGATGATTTTTATTGGATGATTCAGATCATGAATTTTGGGGCTCTTTAAAGGCTCCAAATTTAAATATAGAATCTGCAGCTCATTAGCCCATATTGAGCTATACTGTCACAGAGATTTTTTAGCATTACTGTACACATTACTGTACGTGTTTTCTCTGCCCAAGTCAGAATGAACTGTTGAGTATACTGCCATATTATTAATGTTATGTACACTTGATGTTGGACTATACCAAGAAGAATACCAAGATACTAAAAATACATCCCAGTACTGAATGCAAATTATCATATTTTTTGACTATCAGAAAGTCTTTCTTTATATAGCTTTTTTTCCAGAGCACTCATAACGTCATCAAAACCACGTAGGATTTTCAGAGCTGAAAAACACAATTAAACTGTATTTAAAAAAAAAAAAAAAAAAAAGGCCAAGAAAACAAAAGAGACCAGCCCCAGTTGTTTGCGTTAGGGCTCCCTCTAGTGGAGCTTGTGGGGTTCTATATGCAAACTATTTTTACCTTGTTTTTACATGACTGAGTGGAACTTACAAGACAACAAAACATGTGGTCCACATTTATTTATTTATT